AATACAGATAGACAGCCAATTAGACAGATAGAAATACAGATAGACAGTCAATAAGACAGATAGAAATACAGATAGACAGTCAATAAGACAGATAGAAATACAGATAGACAGTCAATTAGACAGATAGAAATACAGATAGACAGTCAATTAGACAGAAAGAAATACACAGATAGACAGCCAATTAGACATATAGAAATACAGATAGACAGTCAATTAGACAGATGAAAATACAGATAGACATCCATTAGATAGACAGAAATACAGATAGAACGCAAATTAGACAGATAGGAAAACAGATTGACAGTCAATTAGATAGATAGAAATACACAGATAGACAGCCAATTAGAAAGATAGAAATACATATAGACAGCCAATAAGACAGATAGAAATACACATAGACAGCATTAAACATATAAAAATACATATAGACTACCAATTTTACAGATAGAAACACAGATAGAAAGTCAAGTAGACAGTATTTTGCCAATAACTCGTTTAAAACTCATGTTAGAATCAAGCACTTATATTTTTTAATGTATAAATCTTGGGCTACATAAAAATATAAGTGATTTGGTGAGGAGGTAAAAGCAAAGACTAAGGCGTGGCGAAACTTTAAAGTCGAGGCTTTCTTAAAATTTGATGATTTACAATCAGAATTGATTAGATCTCATTGACAGATAGACAGTCAATTAGATAGATAGAAATACACAGATAGACAGTCAATTAGATAGATAGAAATACACAGATAGACAGGTAGATAGATAGAAATACACGGATAGACAGTCAATTAGATAGATAGAAATACACAGATAGACAGCCAATTAGATAGGATAGGTAGAAATACACAGATAGACAGTCAATTAGAGAGATAGAAATACACAGATAGACAGTCAAGTAGATAGATAGAAATACACGGATAGACAGTCAATTAGATAGATAGAAATACACAGATAGACAGCCAATTAGATAGATAGAAATACACAGATAGACAGCCAATTAGATAGATTGAAATACACACATAGACAGCCAATTAAGATAGATAAAATACACAGATAGACAGTTAATTAGACAGATAGAAATACAGATAGACAGCACATTTTTAGAAAGAAAGGAAGATAGATAAACACCCAATGAGACAGATGGGAATGAAGAAACACAGTTAATTAGATATAAAGATTTTTTAAAAGAGATTTTTTTGTCCCAAGGACATGATCGGGTTGTTACGATCAAATCTCGGAATTTTTCTATTGCGAAAGTTTGGTGTTGTCTGGGTTGATATTGATCTACCAGGGGTTGTAATCTGGCAGCACATTCATCCATCCACGCTTCATTCATTCTGAGAAGAGGGTTGACAAGATTCCAGCTGTTTAAGCGCTTCTTAGGCCTGAGAATAATAGAGTGCAGGAATTCTTCTGATATACTGGAATGAGGCCCGGGTGCCATAAAGATATAAAGACGTTTAACCTGACGGATATAAATTAAGAGAGACACCCAATTAGACAAATAGAAATACAGAAATATTCATTCTCATAAAAAACTGTGAAGAATTATGATCAAATGTTCAAACCTAAATGTGCCTCAAATACCACTGTGATCCAAACTAACAAAGCCAACAAATTAATGTTGGAACCGATGCATGTGCTCTTAAATATAAAGAAAAACGAACTTTAGAAAACCACTCTATATGTCCTAAATGTAAAAAAGGCTTTAAGTAGAAAAACTATTCTTCTAACTGTTACTAAAGCCACATTGCGGCTAAAGTAGAAAATACAGTTTAGAACCAACCACTGTGCTTCTAAGTGGTTTTAGTACACAATCTTACTCTAAAACCACTGTGAGCTCCTGTATGATGCGGATATAAAAAACTGTGTTCAAATTTACAAAAATGTCTTTCATTTTAAACCATTAGGCTTCATATGAAAAAGCTACCATATATATAACTATACTGTGCTTCTAGCTTTAAAAATAAAACTATCTAAATAAAAGGTTGCCAATATCTATATAAAAAACTTTGAGAGTTTTAAATGCAAAATAAAAGGCTGTGTAGATGTATCATGTGAATGATTTTATAAAAGATATTAGGTTTTATAATCAACCACAAGCTTTGTCTAAAACTTTGAGAGGTTTAAATGCAAAATAACAGGCTGTGTATAAGTGAATAAGTTTATAAAAGATATTAGGTTTTATAATCAACCACAAGCTTTGTCTAAAAACTTTCTCTTCCTATAAAAGTCAGCCCACTCGATTTCAAATTTTTAAACCAACCTAAGAACTTTCTGAGAGATTGAAGTTTGCAGCAGTATATTCGGTTCCCTCCTTTGGAGCGGAGGCCACCGGAGAGAAATTATTTCGAACGGAGAGAATAAACATTTTTTATTGAACTCTTATTATAACTCCATCGAAGGGATAATAATTTACACTCAGCACACTAATAACTCCACTGAAGGGATGGTAATTAACACTCAGGACACTGATTACTCCACCGGAGGGATGGTAATTAACACTCAGGACACTAATTTTTCCACCAGAGGGATGGTAATAAACACTCAGGACACTAATTTCTCCACCAGAGTGATGGTAATAAACACTCAGGACACTAATTTCTCCACCAGAGGAATGGTAATAAACACTCAGGACACTAATTACTCCACCGGAGGGATGGTAATTAACACTCAGGACACTAACTTCTCCACCAGAGGGATAGTAATAAACACTCAGGTCACTAATTTCTCCACCGGAGGGATGGTAATTAACACTCAGGACTCTAATTTCTCCACCAGAGGGATGGTAATAAACACTCAGGACACTAATTTCTCCACCAGAGGGATGGTAATAAACACTCAGGACACTAATTTCTCCACCAGAGGGATGGTAATAAATACTCAGGACACTAATTTCTCCACCAGAGGGATGGTATTTAACACTCGGGACACTAATTTCTCCACCAGAGGGATGGTAATAAACACTCGAGGCAAAAATTACTCCGATGTAATAATTAGTGTCATGAGTGTTGTTAAATACCATCCTCTGTTGCAGTAAGTAGTGTTTTGTGTGCTAGCCTAGATATCATCCCTCCGATTGATTAATAAGTTTCCTGAGGGCTAATTACCATCTATTATGTGGAGTAATTAGTGTTTTGAGTGTTAATTACCATCACTCCGATGGAATAATTAGTGTCCTGAGTGTTAATTATTCCCTCTGGTGAAAAAATTTCTCTCCGAGGGCCTCCGCTCCACCAGAGGGGACCCAATATGCTGCTGCAAACTTCAATCTCTCGAACTTTCCCGTTGTTCAATCAATATTTGAGGCAATTCGGTACCTGAGTTATTATTGTGCATACAAACAAACAGACATTACTACTTTATAAACTTACAACAGTGAAAACCAGAGAACTATGAAATAGGAAGACGACATTAAAGCAAAAATTAAGTTCATTTGATGTTAAAAACAAATAGGTATACAAGTAGTAGTAACTTATTAAATCCTTTACTAAGTGAAATTGGTCTGTTAACTGTTTTAACTTTAAATCGGCCAATGAAAATAAGGCACATCAAAGGTGTATACACCTTTTCTGTGTCTTATTTTCATTAGACGATTTTAAGTCAAAACTTGAGTCTAAAAGTCGTCTATCTATTCTAAAAGTCGTCTATCTAGTATCTATTCTAAGGTTTTATGGTTCTTATTGTTTATATACCTGATATTCTCAAACCAACTCCTTACCCTGGCCATTAAATCAAATATAATTCAAAGTCTAATAAATTTTTATCACTATTCTGACTAATTTTAGACCAACTAATCAAAACAACCTACCCTGCTTAAGCGGTCCCAACTACAATGTGATTTCCTATTTGTAATATTTAAACATAATATGGAGGTTTCTATTTTGATGTACTTCCAAATTAAATGTCGTCGTTAACTTGATATTTCCCGGGAGATTTTGTAAAAGAATTATTTAAGAAAACTCATGCAGGACTTACAGGGTTACCCACAAAGGATAAGACTTCAGAGACGACTGTACAGAATTCATCTAGTTTTTTCTTAAATTGATGATTCCAATGCACTGATGTATTTTCTTCTTTCTATGCAGTACATGGTGACCCACAAAGGATGAGACTGCAAAGACGACCCAAAACTCAACAATGACGAATGGATCTTGCTTTTATTGCATTCAAATGAGTGAATTGACGGTTTTCTAAATAGTGATGCTGAGAAATTAACCTTAAACGGAACCCCAAAAGCAAGAAAACGGAATAAACAAATTCCGTACAGTCGTCTCTGAAGTCTCATCCTTCGTGGGTAACCCTGGATATTATAACCTTTACAGAATATATTGAAGGCTTGCACTAATCAAGCAGGAACACCCTCGGATTGAAATATCGTAGTAAAAAACGCAATAACAAGACTAATTTTTTCAGCCTTCCAAAAGTTCTATCTATACATGTAAAAACGCGTGGGGGGTAGTTTAAAATTGCATTTGTACGGAATTTTAAGGGAAATAAAGAAAAGAATAAACGGACGGAACAGCAAGACAATTTACAAAATTAATTGTAATTTGAAACCCTTAAATTTTATAGTAATAGGGCACATTTTCTTTCACGGCCTGAAGTACAGGGTTACCCACAAAGGATGAGACTTAAATGGTGACCGAAAATTCAACAAATTCAAGGTTTGATTTGTGTTTCTGCCTTATAAACAGTCTGTTCATGGTACTTTAAGGAGTTGACAAAGAAAGGAAAAAGTTTTCAGTTCCAAGGAACATCACTGCAGTGTCAACCCTTTAAAGTTAACCCTGTACTTATAATACATACCATCAGAAAGGTAAAAATAAGCTGAAACGATTAAACACGGACAAAATAGTTGTTTTCATGCCATACAGTGAAATAAAAATTTTGGGAATTCAAACAAAAATTCTGTCATTTACATTTGTGGGAAAATGAACTAAATCGTGTCAATTACCACAAATCCTGAATCCTGAAAGGGACAAAATGACAACTAACAGATTTTCTCACTTTTTTATTCGAACCCTAAACATCGGTACACATTACATACATACATATTACAAGCGTTTTCATAAATAAGTACAATTTATGTACATATCAACATATGTACAAGAAGGGAGTTTAATGCATATAGGAGCATCACCGGGTGTAAAGGAAGGGGAGGATGTGGGTTCAAATTCATGGGGTACATACTGATCATTTCATTGTTATCCCTTCGCAGGAAATTGATGATCAGTTCGAGGATGAAAACAGGAGTTTGGTAAGATTTAGATGTGTTAAAATTTAAAGTTGTTAACAATTCGTAGCATTCATTTCATTTATACATTAAACAATGTTAAAAATAATTATTACAATAATTTACATTATTCTTGAGATCTTTATAAAAAATAGGAGAACACAGGGTAAACAAGAAGATATTAGATCAATAGATCTACAAAATGTTCAAGGTTCCTGTGTTACATTGTTACTTAAATCACAAGCAGTACAGTACAGTACAGTAACATGAGTCTCAGGAATGTACGCCTGAAACAAGAACTTTGCGTTAAATTTGCACAAAAATTTTAGGCGCACTCTATGCACCAAATGAGCGTGATAAAAGGATAAGTCAAGACTTGTAGTATGTAGATTGCTAAACCGAAACATTGACAGATATGTATTTTTTTCAACGCTCATTGCTTCTGTCGAAAGAAAAATGTTTTTGGGCGGTATTGGTGTTAACCTTGGACTTCGTAAGTTTTTTAGAGAATCATAGACTGCATAGGAAAACACTACAATAATACTAGAAGAAATGCTACAAAATAAAATTATATTTAATAAATTAAATATTAGTTAGGGATGGTAGGTTTATAATAATCTCTGAGTACTGAACAGTGATACACCAATAAAATAATCCTTGCCAGCTTCTGATCTTATCAAAAGTTAAAATTAAACTAAAATTTAAAAATGATTTCGAGTATACATTATGGTAATAAAAAGCAGATGTTTAGTCCCTGGTCTTCATACAATAGATATAAGACTTGAATCTGTTAAGCACTTGAATTTTCTTGAGCTTGTTTTGAAATTAAAGCTAAGTGTATTTATAGTACTGGTTAACAGGGGGTAGAGGGTTTAGAACTAGTTCTGTAGATCACAGCTGAAACAAAAACAAATCTTTATGGTTTGTGATTTACAAGTTAAAAAAATTATATTCAAGACAAAAACAAATTTGTTGATGGAAAAATATTGTAGAAATATTATGAAAAAAATGAATATATGAGAAAGATGAATGAATAAGAGAGAATGATTAATAAATATAATAGAATAATCAATAAATATGAGAGAATGATGAATGAATTTAGAGAGAATAATAAATGAATATATGAAATTGATAAAGAATATGAGAGAATGATGAATGAATATATGAATATGATGAATGAATATGAGAAAATGATGAATGAATATGAGAGAATAATAAATGAATATATGAAAATTATGAATGAATAAGAGAGAATGATGAATGAATATATGAAAATGATGAATGAATATGAGAGAATGATGAGTGAATATATTATATTATAAAAATTTATTCATACACAAAGATATAAATACATATATAAATGGTGTATGAGAGACTAATAAATGAATGCAAGAAAAATAAACAAAATAGAATAATAAATGAATATTTAAGAAAGATAAATGCATATGAGAGAAAGATGAATGAGTATGAGAGGATGATAAATAAATCTTAATAAAAAATATATGAATGAATATATAAGAAAGATCAATGAATAAAAGAGAATATTAAATGAAAATAAGAAAATGATTAATGAATATGAGAGAATGGTGAATAAATGAGAATAATAAATAAAAATAAAAATATGATAAATGAATACGAGAGAATGATGAATAAATGAGAATAATAAATAAAAATAAGAAAATGATAAATGAATATGAGAGAATAATAAATGAAAATTATAAAATGATAAATGAATATGAGAGAATTGTGAATAAATGAATATAAGAAAATGATGAGTTTATATGAGAGAATGATGAATAAATGAAAATAAGAAACTGATGAATGAATATGGATAATGATAAATAAATGAATAAAGAGAATGCTGAATGGAAATGAGAGAATGATGAATAAATGAATATGAGAGATTAGTGAGTAAATGAATATGTACCTTCAAGATGAGAATGATAAAGATATTTTCCTTGGTCTGGGTAGAATAAGAATATCAGTGGGTTCACCACCATCTTCTTCCTCTTCACTATCTTCATCGTCCTCATCCTCTTCCTCCACTTCATCCTCATGCTCATCGTCATCCTCATCCTCCTCAGGGAGTGAATGAAGATCCTCTACTCCCTCCTCCCTCTCCGTCACTACCCCTCCTTCTAGAAGGTTCTCTGGAACAGTCAATTTAACTTCCTGCACATAAAAACAAACAGTTCATTTTTTGTAATTTTCCAATTTCATCCGTATTTCCTGTACACTGTGCAGTTTCTGTTTAAAATGATATTCTTAACCACAATTATTCAATAATAAGAAGAATTATCTTTAAAAGATAACACATCAATCGTTGAAAATGGGGTCGGCGCTTAGGCGCATACACAAGATTTTAGCCCAGGGGTTGGGGAAAGTTTTATATTATTTTTTAAGGGGGAAAACAGGGGCAAGCTTATTTTTTACCCACCACACCTGATTTTAACCTTTGCCCATAAATCTCAGGAGGGGACAGGGCCCCTGGGATGCCCAGGGGTGGGCAAGATGACTACAGCCCCCTTCCCTGTGTGCGCGCCTGTCGACGCTTTCAGCCATCGAATGTGTCCATGGGAAAGGCTGGATACTATGTCCTGCCCATGCAGGCAGACCCATTTTTATTAAGATTATCCACAGCAAAAAATTTAATTAATCATTTCTATGCAATATGTTTATTTAATTATGAATATTATAATTGACCATTAACATTAAAAGAAATTCAAATTGTTAAGAATATAATTAATCAAATTTTTAGAAAGAGGTCGGTTGGAGGGAGGAGGGGGGTTTCTTGTATTACCTGCATAGTATTGTAGGGTAGAGCACGATTAATATGAAGAATATCAAACAATTTATCACTCTTCCCCTCTACAAAATAATCAATTAATCAATAATCACTGGGGAACAAAAGAATTTTTTTTTATGGTGCCTAGAATATTTCGACTGATTATATTACCTCTTTGGTCACTGATAACTAAAATAATCGCCGTTTTGCTCAATCAGGTCAGATTTTTTTGCAATATTGATTTTAGCTTTATATATTTTGTCGTTCTGAGAGCGATTTATCAACATTAGAAATTGTCCATAACTCAGCCTGTGTACAAAATATAAAAGTGGTCTTATTTTTTTTCTTTTTTGCCCACAGGCACAGATATAATGTTTTTTTTGCTTTTAAATATAGACGAAGGTGGCTGACAAGTCTGTATCGTTGTAGCATCGCCAATACCTGCATTTTTATAGTTTGTAATATTCTAAAGAAATAAATGAACATGTACTTTAAATTTTTATTGAAAAAATGAAACATCAGCTGAAAATCTAAACATTAGGGGCAAAGCTTTTCTTCAGCGCTATCCTTCTATGCTGCATGTTAGGGTGGTCCCGTTTTATGCTCCAGCAGTAGTCTGCCATCATGTTGTTGTCCCACCTACCCTGGTACCTCTCCTCCATATCTCTGATATCTTGGTGGAACCTTTCACCCTGTTCGTCACTGACACTTCCAAGGTTTTCAGGAAATTTGTCTAAGTGGCTGAATAGGAAGTGAACCTTGATGCTCATATATGCTTCTAACTGCTTGTAGCTCTCCAGCATGCTATCCACCAGCTCCACATAGTTCTCAGCCTTGTCATTGCCAAGAAAATTCTTGACAACCAGGACAAAAGAAGACCAAGCATCAAATTCAACTGGGTCCATACTAGTCAAGAACTGGTTATCCTTGATAAGTTTTCTGATCTGGGGCCCATCAAAAACCCCGGCCATCTTTTCGTCAATGCTAAGTCCAGGGAAGGCATTACAGATGTACTTAAAACATTCACCATCTTTGTCCAAGGCTTTGACAAACTGCTTCATAAGAACCAACTTTATGTGAAGAGGAGGGAATATGATCTTGGATCTGTCCACAAGTGGTTCAGCTATCACATTCTTCTCTCCAACAACCATGACATCCCTCTTAGGCCACTCCTTTCTTTCCCAGTGTTCAGCCCTTGCCCTGCTGTCCCAGTGGCAGAGGAAGCAGGGGAACTTGGTGAACCCACTCTGTTGACCAAGGAGAAAGTTAACCATTTTCAGGTCAACACAGATCTGCCAGGAATGCTCATCATACTTAATTTTCAAGAGGACCAATTTCACTGCATCATATGTTTCTTTTAATTTGGTTGAGTGAGCAACTGGAATAGATCCCAAAACATTTCCATTATGGAGCAAAACAACTTTCAGGCTGTACTTGGAACTGTCAATAAAAAGCCTCCACTCCTCAGGATTGTAGTCATTTACACCCAACTTAGCCAAAAGACCAGGAATGTTATGACAAAAAACCAACCCATCAACTTCAGAGAAGAAAGGTACAAACTCGGAATCTCTATTTCTGTAGAAGGATACCTTTGTACCTTTTCGAAGAAGATTCTTCTCACTTAGTCTAGAGGCTAAAAGTTCAGCAGACTTTTTCGACAAATTCAGGTCTCTAACTAGATCATTTAGTTCACCTTGGTCAAACTGTTTGGGTTGAGATGATAAGTCTTGATCATCAAAGTCTTGATCATCAAAGTCTGGATCATCTTCACTCTGATCAAGATCACCACTAACATTTAGTGGCACACACTCAACATCTGTAAGATTGGGGAATGACTTGAACTCTGGAACTGGAACTTCTTCACTATGAGGCGCAGGTCTAATGGCTGAGGGTAAGCTGGGGTACTTTAAATGTTTCCTGTTTTTCCTATTAATCCCCTTCAGGTTTATGGCACAAAAATAACAGTCATCAAAGTGGTTTTGGGGTTCTCTCCAGATCATAGGAACACCAAAAGATAAACCCTTCCTTTTGCCTTTAGTCCATTCCCTGAGGTGTTCAGTGCAACACTTGCACACAATGTGAGGGGCCCACTCTTTGTCCTGATCACCAAGCCTGCAATCAAAGTATGCCAAATAGGCTTGCTGAACAAAATCTGTAACACTCTTTCTATTTTCTGACGTACAAAACTCCCCACAAATGTAGCAGAACTTATCAGGATCATTTAGGCACTTTCTCCTGGATGTCATGTTTGATGTCTCTACTGGGAGAAAACTCAGATCACACTAATTGTACACTGTACACTTGTACCCAGAGTACATGTGTACAGAACTCTGGTTTGTGTACATGTATACACAAACCACAAACCATTCAGAATGAGATCTGAATTATTCAATTGTCGTCTTCATGAAAATAACAGAAAATAGTAATATCTCAGGCTGTAGGCTAAAAATCTTAAAAATAAGGCCACATTCATTTCTTCAACTTTAAAACTTTGAGAAAATAAAGTGCCTTTGATTTTTTTAAATTTTGCCTGTGGGCTGAGTTATGGCCAATTTCTCTCTTAAACGAATACCCGTTCGATAAGCCAAAACTTACAAGACAATAAATCAAAATTGCTGAAAATTCTGACCTGATTGAGAAAAGGTATTTATCATATAGTTATCAGTGACCCTAAAGGTAACAGAATCCGTTGAAATATCTCTGGCACCAAAATCTTTGTTCCCCAGTGTAATCAATTAAAATTATTTAAACAACCATTCAGTAGATCGATCAACAGACATGGAAAATCTTTAAATAAAAATAGATTTATATTCTTAAAAGCAATATGATGCTCAGTAAAAAGAAAAATCACAATATTTTAGTCCATTTTCTAAATGATATATATATTTATCACAAACTGAGCCAACCTGTAAGTATGTACGGGGGTCTAGTACCCTCACTACAGTTCCGAGAATGGCAGGCAGAATTAGTCCGTGAACTGTCAGTACTAAATATTTAAAATTAATAAAATTGTTGAAATATTGACAAGGAATTTATATCGACCAAGCAAATGTAAAGTTTAGACCAATGATATATGTAGAATCGTAGATTATAGAACTATGGAGAAAGAATATGGTTTCTATAAAATTCTGCTGTGACGTTTTATTATCATTTAGCAAGTGATTTCGCTGCTCAGAAATACCGAACCTTGTTCACAATCTTTGCTTTTCATAAAATAACTGATTCTTCTTTACTCCTTGGTAAGATTTAAACAAAACTAAGATTTCCTAGGAGTTTACGACTCCTTTTATTTGCTGTGAAACTGAAGTTTACTTGAGTGTACTGTGAGGTGTACCCTAAGTACTTGAGTGTACTGTGAGGTGTACCCTAAGTACTTGAGTGTACTGTAAGATGTACCCTAAGTACTTGAGTGTACTGTGAGGTGTACTTTTAGTACTTGAGTGTACTGTGAGGTGTGCCCTAAGTGTACTGTAATGTACTGTGTACCTTTCCAGGAATGGTTGTACAGCTTGTTCTGTATCGTAGCTAGAGGGTCCAAGCATATCATGAACTTGTTCTCGAACCTTAATCATTATATGTTATCCAAGAAAAGGAAAAAAACTGGACATGTCCTTAAAAACACTTAAATTTCAAAAAAGCTAAAGGTCTGATCCTTTCTCAAGTTCTCTGCTAAGTTCTCCGCATTTTATATGGTTTTCCTCTTTCTCAATAGATTTACTCTTTACCCATTTCCCAAAGAATTCCTCATTTTTTCATAAACCAATTCCTTAATGTTTATTTGTTTCGATCTTTTAGTTTTTTATTTGAAATTTGTCAGAAAATTCATTCTATTTACCAAATAAAAATAAAAACCCTAGTTTTTGTAAAAGTAGATGAAATAATTATTCAGCTGTTTAGTATTTACAATAATATTACCTTTTCAACTTTAGCGACCGAGGTTCTATTAGAACAGCACAAGCACATTGCAGTCAACAGGAGCAGTAGAACACAGGACATTAGAACTAAACAATATAACAAATATTTATGATATTAGGGCTTTAAAAATGTACAGATAAACGCAGGATTTTAGCGGGATGTTAAAGCTAAAAGAAGAAAAGGAAAGTTGTGAAATAGAAAATTTATGTTAGAAAAGTTTTAAGAACATATTACTTTTCTCTTCTGTGATGGCAAGAATGAACATTTAACTATAAGAGACATAACAAAATATTAGGAATTAGGAACATCTTTGTTGATAAATATGTTGTTTTGCAAAAGTAATCTTAAACCAACATCTGATGAAAATCAATTTAAAACGTCTTTTATCATTGTTCAGTCACAGTCCTTTCTTTTTATAATAAATTAAAATAGTATGATAAAAACCTACCTATGAAGAAGTACAGAATATATTGTCTATATATTGCAGGATCCACTGCAGCAGTTTTCAAAACTTTAACAATATCTTCTCCTGAAATACAATAAATGCAATAATTATTCATATATATCTCTTCAACACGAAACATTCACATTAAAGCATAAATCAATAAATTGCTTTTGAGTTCATTAATCTAACCCAACATTGCACATGAATAAAGGGCAAGATGGCGAGAAGAGTCTGAAAATTTTAAAGTTTGCATATTTCACCTAGTTTATCGATTCCCTCCTCGAACCATAAAACTGGAACAACGGTATCATTCACGTTCGCCAGATCATCGAAAATGGTGGAACTTCTAAATTAGAGAAATGGTTTAAATTGTAAGAGAAATCATGTTGAGACAAAAAACTAAAACTTTGAAATTATTTTTGTAGGAATTTAGTAGGTAGATGTGTGAAAAGGGTCTATAAGTAAAAAGTGTGCTGTAGCGCGAACAAGATTTATAAGATTAAAAACGTCACACGGAGATAAGAAGGATAAGATGGATCACTGATTAAAAAGAAAAAGATATAAAGTCACAAAACCTCAGAATACAAACTTTATTTTTTTTTAATCCGAATTAGTATATCAATCAAAGTTTGTGGATAGCATATCAGTCAAAGTTTGTAGATGTACAATGCACATAGTTAAGTGAGCTGTACAGTCCAACAGCCAGCTGATTGAAAAAAACACATCCCACTTTATTAAATTAAACTTTAAAGTGTACTAAAGAAAGAAAAACTCGGCTTACTAAACCGGGTTTTGTTCATTAGTACTTTCTTAAGTTTCCTGTTATAGATTAAGAAGTTGACACAAGTGTAGAATAACCTTGAAAGATGACACTAGGACAAGGATTTAATTACACAACCTTACAGCTAGCAGATCAAACAAAATAATGAAAAAAGTAGCTTTGTTTCACAAACCCTGCTCTCTACGTATTGTTGTTAAAAGAATCAGAGCGGATCAATGGCTCAATTTTCTTTAAAAATCATCATTCCACTTAAAAATCAAAGTTCTCCAGATGTTTGGTAATTATATTTGTTGTTGAATTGGGGCATATCAAAGAGTTTTTGGTAAAAATTATCCAAAAGGGAGGAAAGTTCCACCTAGTTATTTTTTAAAATATTTTTACAATTTATTCTGCGTAACTAACCTGACCATAACGTTGATCTGGATTCTAGCTTTAGCACTAAGGGTGGTTCCTGTAGTGGGCTGAATATCAAACCAAAATCCATGTTCTTTCACATTCGGCCTGATGAAAAAAATGTTATCAATAAATAATTTTTAATAGTTAAACTACCCAAATCTAATACACTTTATTTTTCCTGACCACCAAACCAACTATTCAACCAAACAACGTGCCAACCAACCAACCAACCAACCAAACAACGTGCCAACAAACCAACTAACCAACCAAACAACGTGCCAACCTACCAACTAACCAACCAAACAACGTGCCAACCAAACAACGTGCCAACCAATCAACTAACCAACCAAACAACGTGCCAACTAACCAACCAAACAACGTGCCAACCAACCAATTAACCGCCAAATGAACCCTAATACCCAGTTAACAAGTTATTTATCAAACTAAACCTACTAACAAACAAACTGACCATGAAACCATCAAATAATAACTACCATTTTAAACAATGATTCAACTAATTAAAATTATAAACCAACCAACTAACCAACTGCTCACATAACCAAATCATCAACTACCACCACACCGACTAACCAACTAACCTCATGAATACCAAAATTACTAAATTCTTTGAAAACACCTAACTTATTTCATAACCATAATCCTTGACAACACCTATCTTGTTATCCAAGTAACTGACCTGAGTCCTTGAACCTCATCCCTGAATTTATCCTCTGCATGAAGAAAGTGAGGCCAGGAAAGAACTTGAAAAGGATAGAAATGTTTATTCGTTAAATATTCAACGAGTTCATGAACTTTAAAGGGATTGTTCAGATAATTTGAAAATGGGGTGGATTTCCAATTTCAGAATTCGTGAGCATCAATTAATCAAGAACATTTTTAAAATACAAAACATAAGTCATTACTCAGATAACATGAATTTAGTTTGCTATATTTAAGATTTGACGGATAACAAAATCATCTTCATCTCTTCAGTAAATGATAATCACAAATATTTTCATATTAAGTGAACCGTCCCTTATAAGGCAACTAGTTTACCTATGGGAGCATTAAACTGACAAGTCGTAACATCAAATACTCCATCTCCAAGAACACTTCCTTCTACACCATAACAAGAGTTCCTGGAAAATATAACGTAACTACATTTCCCATTTTTCAATGGCCCTCATTTTATAGAGTTATATGCACCATTTTTCATCAATATTGTTTAGATAATGATGTATGTATTGTAAAGGGTACCATTGTAGTATTGTAAAGGGTACCATTGTAGTATTGTAAAGGGTACCATTGTAGTATTGTATAGGGTACCATTGTAGTATTGTAATGGGTACCACTGTAGTATTGTAATGGGTACCATTGTAGTATTGTATTGTAAAGGGTACCATTGTGAATAGGGCAGGTAAAACTCCTTAATTGCAGGGCCTTAAAATTACGTTGGCAGCCCCTGTAGAAAATTCACATATTAAAAACCCATGAGTTCAATCATAAAACTAAAATTGTCCAGATTTTTTTAACTAAAAAAAAATCAAACCAATTGATATTTTCGTAAGCTATAAGAACATTATAATAATATTTGGAAAGTCTGGATAATTTAGATTTTATTCAAAACGTTGAATTGATATTTTATTCTGATTCGAAGAATTGAATTCTAGACTAATGATTATAAAAACGAAGGTTAACTTACTCGTCGGGAAATCGATGCGACATGAAAACATCCTCCCGAGGTCGGTATCTAGACAAAAACATCTTTAATACTAAATTATTTTATTTTTCACTTTATTCATAAACTGGCACAGTACCGGGGGGGGGGGTTAATTGGACAAAACTAAATTAAAAAATTGGAAATTTAAACAATTTTAATTTACTTCACCCCATTTTTTATTGTTTTATCCCTCAAGAGCCACTTTAACCTATTAACCTTTAAAATCACCATAATTACCCCCTGCCCCTCCCCTAAAAAAAGTTAGGAAAATAAAAATCCTTTTTTTCATTCCTTCTTTAATTTTATTTCAAACTTCTTAAAAAAATTTAAAATAAATTCAAAACTTTAATGGCTTCCTGCTGAAACTTTCATTATCATTATCATTAAAATCATTCAGACTCCTTTTTAAACATAATTTATAGCGCTTTTACACTGGAAGAAAAGTTTCAGAAGGGCATGTTTTTTTTTTAATCCGACCCATCATGTTTTCTTTTACAGATCTTTCACATTTCATTAATATGTTTTAGATTCTACGCGATCGTAACAGTTTATCAAGATTTTTGAAAACGTCAATAAAAATATAATTTATTTTTTTCCACTTACACAAATTTTGGTGGATATTTAAACATGAATTAGATATAATACGTCTTAAAACTCCTTTATTTATAACTCTTTACTCGATCCTTATGTTACATGTAAGGGGGGGAGGTTACCTGTATCCCGGTAAACCCTCTCTATCCACCTCCTCCTCGAACACCAGTGGCATGGCCCGGCACAGCTGGTCGTTGAAGAACCACAATGTGTCTTTCTAAACAAATATTTAGTTTAAAAAGCTATATTTAAATTTAAAAAAAACAATCCTACGGGAGAACAAAGCTACTTTTTGGAAACATGTAAAAACATTTTAAAAATACCAAATTCGATAAATTTTTGATTTGTACGTTCATGGATTAAATGGTAGACTTGCATCTTTAATGTATTAAAAAAATTTCGCCTGTTGTCTGTACGGATTAAATATTAACCAGTTGTATGTACGGATTAAATATTAACCCTGTTGTATGTACGGATTAAATATTAAACCTGTTGTATGTACGGATTAAGTATTGAACCTGTTGTATACACGGATTAAATATTAAAGCTGTTGTATGTACGGATTAAATATTAAACCTGTTGTAAGCACGGATTAAATATAAAACCTGTTGTATGTACGGATTAGATACTAAACCTGTTGTATGTACGGATTAAATGATGCTCCATCAGAGCCATGCACTTTGTCGCAATCACTATCATTCCATCGACCTAAAACATATCACGAAAATAAGAACTAGTTGACTGTAAATGTGCTAAGTAACATATCTTTAATAAATGTTGAAATAAATCATCGACAAATGAGATCATACACCCACTTTTTCTTACAAGAGATTTCTCCGTGACCAGTGGTTGGCAGACAAAATATTTCTTTAATATTTTTTAAGTTTTGAATTTTCATGACAAGAGACAAATCTCAAGAACTGAAGAGGGTTAGCCCCGACCGAAATGTATATTAAAAAAATATGGAACTAACACCTATCTATATTTAGTTTACTCTATGAAGTTTGAATCATCATCAATGCCGAATTTCAACTTCATAGCACATTAAATATCTACTCACTTACCAAGATTGTTTTTGCCGTTGAATGCCGCAATAGTTGCAAGTTTATACGGATCCCCTTCCCCAGTGTACATAGTGTACAACCCCAGATCCTCCTCTCTAGAAACAAAAACATTAATTAGTTACTTTATCAAACATTCAAGGGATCGTTCACTGTTCAAATATCTGGGTATCTACCATTTCTGTATTACTTATTATTTTACAGAAAACGGCTGATCTAGAAATTGCTGATTTTACAATTTATCTGAAGAAAACAGAGTCGATATTTTAGTTTCCGTCGTCTTCACAATAAATCAACAACATTGGTAGATCTTTATTCAAGAAATTATATACATTCAATATAAATTGAATAATTGAATAACACGTAATTAATGAACAGTTAACTTAAGCCCGGGAATTCTTTTAAGCTAAATTGCATAGAAAAATAATTATTTTTCTACTACTATTTTTTCGGGGTCTGTCAACCCTGAGACATAATAATATGGTACCTCCTTCATTAATCAAATATTTAAACAATCTCATTTAATGCATTTATAGATTCTTCACGTAGAAAATTGTTTTGAAATTGTTTTGGCTGACCCTGTTCAGAAGAATAATGAGAAATTGAGGAAGCCCTGAATGGAAACAGTATATATGTGGCCTGAAATGACTTGTGCAGTACACATTTTAGCGTACACATGTAATCTTTGTTATTAACTTATTAGGATTGAATTTTTTGTTCTTTTCTACACAAATTTCGGCACAAATGTTTAGATATAATATTTTCAGAATATTTCTTCAGCGTTTGTATCGTTTGATGCTAAAGGGGGGGTCTTGTTTTTTATTCTGGGTGCTTAGGGCTGGCAGTCAAATTCTTTTCAATGCTCATATTTTTTCCAAATTCCAAGCAATCGAAACACTACGGAGATATTTGGAAAATATGAGCTGACCAGATATTGTTCTAAAAACTGTTCCAAGTGAGAGAATCAAAATAATTTTTTCCGCACTTCAAAATTCAAAAAGGAAAAAATTATTTCATTAAATACAGGGGGGGAAATTGACTCAGAGTAGTGTTAAATAAATATTGATTACATGACTTCATAATCTTTTTAAAATCAATTTAATAGAAAAAAATGTGAAATTATCTTTTAATAACAATAAAGTAAGTTTACTTTAAGCGGACAAGCCGACAAGGAATATTAAACAAACATACAAAGTAAACAATCAATTATGTTCCTGCTTTTACTAACACCTGTTAAAAAACCATCCTTGAAAAAATATGCATAAAATTCAGGGAAAATTAGAAAATTTGACAGTTCTAATTTCTTGATTTAGCGCACCAAAACATATTTCAACTTTTAATGAATATTTTCCATTTTCACTTATCAAAATATTAAGGATTCAAAAAAGTTTCAAACTTTCAGAAATTCCGATTAGATTAAAATCAAACTTTTCTTCTTAATCTTGAAAAGAAAAAAGTATCGTACACGAATGCAGAAAAAAGTAAGGGTGAAAAAACTATTTTATCCTCTTCGTAAAAATGAAAAAATTCCAATTTTTTTTTAAATAAAAAATTAGCAGAAAAATTTAGGAAAATAGAAAACTTGTCTCTTAGAATTTCAGAAGTTAAACCTTGGCAATTTGCAAAATAAAAATCTTTATCATAGAAACTTTTTGAAATCTAGGCAGCGCTGCATTAATAGTTTCAGCACCTTTTCTAAATATGTCCTTGAACACAAAAATGGAATAGCAATGGCGCTAGTTGTATCATATTTTAGAAAGTTGTAGGAGGAGAGTTCGAACTTAGGATACTTTTAATTGCTAATTATTCATCTGTAATTACACTTACTTGGTTGAGTTTTTAGTAAGAAAGAATCCGAACTGGTTGAAGGGAGGTGGGTCGGGCATTGTGTGACGGGCAATATCAAACAGTTTCTCCTATATTCACAAATATTCTTTTTTTTTTGTTTGTAAAAAGTCAATTTCAATGTAAGTTTTACTTTTCATTATACTTGATATTTTTATATCAACGATTGGCAAAAAATGAACTAAAAGTTACAATTAAAATTTTTCTAATTGTTAAATTCAATTTCTCGACTTTGATCAAATTCAAATGTCGGCGAAAAAAACTAATATCTTCAAAATATATATGTTTTATGCGGCTTATATATGCTTGCATAAATGCATTAAAGAAAACATATTAAAACAAAGTTTACAAATAAACAAGTTTAAACTAAACTTTTTCACGAGGAGAACAGTCAGTGTTTAAATCGTGATCCTCCATATTATGCATGCACCTAAAAAACTACGATATTTTCATGCATTTCTGCATCTATTAAAGCAGTAAGATAACATTGTTATTTTGGTTCGCAGTGTTTTAAAGTTATTGGACGGAAAATTTCTTTTTATTGAGAAGGTTCAAGCCGTTTTAGATTTAATTTTGTCCCGAGCTTTAGCGAGGGACAAAATTAAATCTTAAAGGGCCAGAACCTTCAAAATATAGAGAACATTTCTGTCCAATAACTTTTATTATGAAATTCACGATGAAGTGAGGAAGAATGATAAAGTACACAATAGTTTCATAAAAATAATTAAGAAATATGTCCCTGATGGCCCCAAAGCAGATCTTTGGCACTTTTAACTGTCCACATTCGGTAATCTGAAAATAAAAAGATATTTTATTTCATTTGTTAAATTGGCGTACGAAATTGGTATATTTTTAATGTTAAAACTATTTATTTAAATCCCCCCCCCCCTCAAAAAAAAAACAACATTTTAAGCATTTCTCATTTTTTTCAATTTTCCGTTACTGTTAAAACTTGTTCCAAATGGATCTATGACTAATTTATTAAAGGGAGTGTTCGCGAAAAATGAAAGGGGGTATAGGCTTAATGCGATAAAAAGCGTTTTTGATCGCTACTAATCGTACTTATATCTGTTGCCTCTATAAGGAGAAACTTGTTTAAGAAGTCTCATACCGAATAACTTAGCGCCCATACAAATTCAGAAAATTGCAACATACGACTTAGAATGAAAAAATCCATTTAATTTCAAACAAATCATTCAGATATTACAACCTATAGTCATCGATTGTCTTTCGCCACATTTGTATATAGTTTATATTTTATAATATTTTATTTTTTTAGAAAACGTTTTAACGGATTTCGAAAAATGTGAGTGGTCCGCGGCATTCTTAGATAGTTGCGCAAGTCACAAGAGAAATAATCAAATTAAAAAGAAATTAATTAAAAAATATAGAAGTAAGATTAGTTGCGATCAAAAGCGTTTTTTTATCGCATTAAGCCTATACCCCCTTTCATTTTTCGCGAACACTCCCTTTAAGGGGATTGAGAGTACACCAACCTAGTCCATGAATCATGCCAGTCAGAATGAACCCTGTCCAGAAAGCTTCTCTCATCTAAATAATTAAAAAATCTAATTTGCTAAAGATTATTTATATTCTACACATTTTCTATCCAGAGGAAGGGAATTAAATTAAAGTAGAACAAGCATTATTCCGACATTTGAAATGCTCTTATAATTTGTTTTGCTCATAAAAAGCGTTCTCAAATGTTCGGCTCTTGATATGAATTTCATAATTATTTCATTATATATTTTGTAATTTCTTGATTAGAAAATTATTTTAAATTGTTTAAATTTTTTTAATGTTTTGACTAAAATAATATTTTTTAATTTTTTGCTTTAAATGATATTTTTAAATGTTTTTCTTTGAATATTGTTTTTTAAATGTTTTTCTATAAATAATTGTTCTTAACTGTTTTCCTTTACACTGATTTTTACACTGTTTTACTTTAAATAATATTTCTTACTTTTTTGCTTTGAATATTATTTTCAAATGTTTAAATACCCTTTTTGTTAAATGTTTTGCTTTTAATAATATATATTTTAAATGTTTTGACCTGATAGTAGGCAGAGATGGCAGGAACGTTTATAGTTGTAATTTGATCGTTGACATCACTACAACCGGCGCAGGAATCAACCGGACTAAACCTGGAGTAAACAAAATATTAAAACTCTCAGAATATTATATTAAGAAGCTGTAAACGTGACATAGCTTCTCCGTCTAAAAAAGTCGAAAAAGGTTAACAGCAGTATTTTTTTCTTATAAGCGTTGATGGGATATTCACTAAAACCCAAATGTCTTCGGTCAATGTACTGCAGCTCACTGCAGAACACAAGGAAAGCTAAGTTTAGGGTGTATACTGTATAAGCTGGAAAACTAGTAGGAACAGCAAGAATAGGACTCGCAAATGAGAAAAACCATGTATATACGCTTAAATAATAACGGTACAGAGAACTAGATATCTATAATAGTCTTTTCAATTCTTTCACTGCATAGTAAATAGCATAGTTGTTTCTACAGGGTTACAACAAAGGATAAGACTGTAAAGACGACCTGTAACTCATCTTCTGTCGATCTTAATGTTAAAACCAGTATTTTGCCTTGAAAATATAGTCCTTTAATGGCTTATTATTAGTGACTTAGCAAAGAAAAAATTCGTCGAAGTCTCATCCTTAGTGGGTAACCCTGCAGGTGCGCTGAAATTCAATAAAAAAATTAAATTCATGATCAATTCAAAAGTTTGTTACTTACGTGAATATTTTTCGTGTTCTATACGATATTGTTCCATTGGTGTGCCAGGTTATATTCTGTTTTAACCACTTCTGTCTGCAATATATAATAGTTGGTTAAACTTGAAAGTTAAAGGGACTGTAGAAGTAATTTCAAGTTACCCTCTATATATAGAATACAGGTATGTCCCATTCATAGCGGTACTCCTATTAACATTGTCTGATATAGTTTCTCTAACTCTAAAAAAATCTATTGGAGTAAATTGTAAGAATGATAAGCAGTTGTCAAACTAGACAAACGACATTATGCAACATTATAAACTAGATGAAGATGTAAATTGTACCGTTGTTAATCAGGCCTCACTCTTTATTATTGCAGGATAGGGCAACTAGAAATTACAACAACAATCATTTTAATTTAAGAAACTAGAGGTAAAATATCATGATTTCAGAGGGAAAAGACTGAAAATTCTTTAATCGTTGATACCTGTACGTGTAGGGTCCAACCTCTTGAAGATTTGGTTTCTCCAACCCAGCAAAGAAAGGTTCAGGATTAGTAAAATTCCAAAAATAAACCTTAAATAAAATAATCAAAATCAACTTTAACTTAGGTTCTCCGCTTTAAATTAAAATTAGAAAATGAATTGAACACTCACCTCAAACTCTAATTTTTTTATAATTAAATCTTAACAACCTGATGGTGTACACCATGTTTTATTTAAACTTTGCCCATTTGATCTAGAAGAATTTATAGTTTGAAATGTCAAAGGTATGAAACATCAAGTTGCAAAGATATAAGAATCAACACTTATTGTTTAAGGCAAGTAATCAGTTTCCTTAATTTTTTCTGTTGAATGCAAATTATTTCTATTTTTCTGATTGTAACCTTTAAATGCGGAGATATGGGCGGATCCTCCCAGATATAAAATGTTTCTGAACTACGAGATAATGTCAGCTTACTCAACACAACACTCCTAAACAAAAGGATTTATATCCATATAATCCAAACTGAAATTGATTATAGAGACTGTAAGCGTAGTTTAAAGTGACCCTCCATGCAAAGAGGGTAATGCCCGATTTACAACGGTACCCTTAAACCCTTTGTGTGTTCGTCGAGTACAGAGATGTGTGTGTGTAAACGTATCAAATTCCACTTGTATGATCAGCTGCAAATTCCGGTGTGCACTGCGTTGAGTTCAGACTGTACGCAGTGTACACCGGAATTGTCTCACAAAGGTGTTCAGGGTACCGTTGTAAATAGGGTATGCCCTTTTTATATGGAGGGTCACTTAAATACGCTTACACTCCCTTTAATAAAAGTATAGATAGAAGTCAGCGCAACCATTTGAAATGGCCGAACCAAGATGAAAAAACCGTGGTAAAAAATCAGAACAGGGAATTTTAAAAAGTTGTCTCACATAAATTTTAACAAGTTTCAATAACTGGGATAAATTATAGGCTCTGGATCTAATATAGGGAGTAGATTTTAATCAATCTAACAGGTTTTTCCTTTCAACGTTGATATAGATATTATTTATCAATAATCAATATGCACTCAGTTTAACAACTTATACCTATATCGGATGATAAAGATAGATTAATAACCGCTTGATTAGTTAAAACTAAATTCACACAACAATTAAATTTTACAAAACCATGAAATAGCAAGATCTTTTAATGGGTTTCTTTACTTTTCTAATATAAAAAGTAATGAAGTGAGGAGATGAAAATCGCTAGAGATATTTAACATAATTGAGAGAAAAGCTACTTTCATAGTCGACCCTAGAAATAACTTTCATGATCATCTATATAAAAAAGCTGGTCGCTCAAATTATATGTTAGCTATAGCTGGCCTAACGGCTGGACCAAATGGGCTGATTTTTTTGAGGGAGCCCATGGGGATCCTAGGGGTAACGTAGGCTGAAAAAATTAGACATTTTCACATTTTTTTCACAAGTCTTAGTATCTCAATCAAAAGTAAAGTTAGAAATCCAATGATTCTCATGTTCAATTTTTTAAAACTTTGTCTTTTTTCTTTGTTCCAAACAAATGTTAATGTCTCATTGGATTGGGCTCAATTCTTGCTTAGGACCTAAGACCCAAATATCTTATAATTCTTAGAATTTCAAGCGATTTTGAATTTGAATTTTAAGAAATTCAAATTTTTCATATTTTTTTAATTCATTTGTAATGAAAATAATAGTTTAAAGAATATATAATTACGTAATTTCCATATCAGCAAATTATTTGTTTATCGGTTTCAAATTTCCAGGCTTATCAGAGGCCCATATAGATTTTAGTAAAGGGGTAAACATTCAAATCCAGAGACAACCCCCCCCCCCNTAGGACACAGAGCAGTAATAAACCTAAATATTAGATATCATATAACCACTATACAAGATAGGACACAGAGCAGTAATAAACCCAAATAATATCATGTAACCACTATGCATGATAGGACACAGAGCAGTAATAAACATAAATATTTCATGTAACCACTATACAAGATAGGACACAGAGCAGTAATAAACCTAAATATTAAATATCATGTAACCACTATACAAGATAGGACACAGAGCAGTAATAAACCTAAATATTAGATATCATATAACCACTATACAAGATAGGACACAGAGCAGTAATAAACCCAAATAATATCATGTAACCACTATGCATGATAGGACACAGAGCAGTAATAAACATAAATATTAGATATCATGTAACCACTATACATGATAGGACACAGAGCAGTAATAAACCTAAATATTAGATATCATGTAACCACTATACAAGATAGGAAACAGAGCAGTAATAAACCTAAATAGTAGATCATGTAACCACTATACAGTATACACGATAGGACACAGAGCATTTATAAACAGAAATAGTAGATATCATGTAACCACTATATGATATAGGACACAGAGCAGTAATAAACCTAAATATTAGATATCATGTAACCACTATACCTGATAGGACACAAAGCAGTAATAAACCTAAATATTAGATATCATGTAACCACTATACACGATAGGACACAGAGCATTTATAAACATAAATAGTAGATATGAAATTCCCACTATACCCGATAGGACACAGAGCAGTAATAAACCTAAATATTAGATATCATGTAACCACTATACAAGATAGGACACAGAGCAGTAATAAACCTAAATAGTAGATATCATATACCGACTATACACGATAGGACACAGAGCAGTAATAAACCTAAATAGTAGATTTTATATACCGACTATACACGATAGGACACAGAGCAGTAATAAACCTAAATAGTAGATATCATATACCGAATATACACGATAGGACACAGAGCAGTAATAAACCTAAATAGTAGATCATGTAACCACTATAAAATATGGGACACAGAGCAGTAATAAACCGAAATATTAGATATCATGTAACCACTATACCGGATAGGACACAGAGCATTTATAAACATAAATAGTAGATATCATGTTACCACTATACTGGATAGGACACAGAGCAGTAATAAACCTAAATGGTAGATATTATATACCGACTAAACATGATAGGACACAGAGCAGAAATAAATCATTAATATAAAAAACTAGAAAAATTATTAATCGTATCAATAGACAGAAATGTAGCATTATTCGGAGAAAAGATCTCTCGAATTAAATTTATCAACAAGAGCCGTCTCGTACTGAGGGGGATGTGGGGCTAAAATGGCTTAGCAAGCTCCCCCACCCCTCTGGATCAGTACAATCAATGTTTTCCAGGGGTTTCAGGCCCAAGCGGGTGCTAAACCCAGCTGTTAAAATAAAAAAAAATTAAGCCCCCCCACCTTAAAAATTCCTGAGCATACCCCTGTTCTCAACGTTTGTTCCGTTGTCAATTTCCCTGATTTATTCGACGGCGGTGACATCTGTAGTGTATAAAATTAAGGACAAGGAAAGGAATCAAATCCAAGTAGGTTACTGCTCTAATTTCTAAACATATGACGATATATTTAGATTTAGATTTACAGCTGGTATATTTCAGGGTAGTCCAGGGGTACAGGGTTTCAGACGATGGTTTTTGAGTATTTCTCAGTGTGAAAAACCAAAACTGAGTTTTTTCAAAATACAATAAATTTTTTTTGCTCCCGTCCTGAAAAAAAAATTAGCTTTAAACAGCTTAAAAATTAAAATTAATCTTAAAAAACACCTGCTTCTCTACAAAACATACAAATATAAATGTATTAATTTAATAGAAATACATTTTAACATGCAACAATCGACCATTCTTTACCAAACCACAATATAGTGTAATGTTAACCCCTCCCTTTCTTTACTGAGTGATTGGTCAGTATCCCCATTCTATGTAAATTGATCATTTTAAAATAAAATCAAAAAGTTTCTAAAATATTTAAATTTAAGTTTCAAACTTTGCATAAATTGATATCAAATTAAAGAATATTCACAAGTTTCATGATACTTCAGCATTTCAGATTTTAATCCTAAATTATTTGATAATTTTGAAAAAATTAAATTGAAAACATAAAAACAGAATATATAATATATATCTAATATATATTATATAATACAGAAATTTGATTCTAAATCTTTTGTTAAAAAAAAAACAATTAAAAAAAGGTGCGCAGAAAATATACTTCTTTTTCTCTCAGAAATGAAGTTGATTGAATTGCAGTTTCTCTCTAAAAGTTACGTGCGGATTTATGGTACAGATGCGGAATTAAACACGTTTTAAGATTGAAAACAGCGATAACTTCCTCATTGTACCATTGTGATTCGGACCCGCTACTCTTCTATCAAAATATATAAATTGTGATCTCTGTTTGTCAGTCTGTTTGTTTGTCCGGTCATAACTCAGAAACCCCCGAACCGATTTGCCTCAACTTTTGATTGGAGAACTCTAGAGAGCCACTGGAATGTTCTTACCTTGTATTTGAGATGCTAAGTTGAGTAGTCCGACTTTTATCGGAAAAAATCGTAATTTACGACAAGGGACGTGTGAACGGTGGGACTAACTATGACTCCCCTGGTCCACGCTGGGTTCCCAAGCTAGTTTTAAATAAAGATTTACTTGAATATACGGCAGCAGTCCCTTTAAGACAGTACTTACTTATATTTATTTTCTTCATTGTGTTCCTCCTAGGATTTGATGCAAGTTTAGATACTCGGGTTTGCAGATGGAGAAACTTATTCTCAGAACTAATCAACTCAGAACCTGAAAATATCAATCAATCAAATTATAATTTGAGAAGGGGTGTTCATCGTTCTTGGTTCGTTTTTTTACTTTCAATTAAACTTGCAACATTTAAAACTTTATTCTGTTAAAGTTTGCTTTAATATTTTCATCATTAGCGAAAATGGAAAAACGAATAAAAAAAACAATCGTTTTAACACGTTCGTTTTGTTTGCCATTATTTTCTCCCGGGATAAAATTGGCATATTGTAAGGAAAGCAAATGTTCAGAATAAACAATTTTGAAAATTGTAAAATTTCTCAGGATTTTGCAGAATATTTTTTAATTCAAAACGCCATCAAATACGAACAAACTTGCTCTATCACTAAACTTGAGCAAAATAAAAAGATTTAAGGTTTTAACAGTTCACAACTCAATTTGTTTTTGTTTAAAACTGTTCCTAGAAAATGTGCTCGGAAATTATAAAATAATAACAAGACAGTGGTTGTGCAAATATCTTAGGAAATTTGGAGAAATAGTCGAGGAGAAATTTTTTATAATTTGAATATTAAATCAAAACAAGGCTTTTAAACATGTCCTACCCTATGACCACAAAAACAATCTCGAAATGACTTATATTTCATTATAATTTCAATACATATTTTTTCTTCTCAAGAAAACATAAATAATAAATAAGTATTATTAAGTATTATTTTCTTTACTTTGATATAATTTCACTTCTCTCCATGAGTATTGGTAAAGTACTGATTAAAGTTAAAAAATAATTACATAACGACATGGCTGGAAGAAATCTGACAAGGCAAATATTTAAATTCCATAAAATTTACTGACATTGCAACTACGTAGAAATAACAGATTAGAAATAAATAAGAAAAAAATTCAAAAAGTTCTTAATAATAAAATCAATAAAATCCTGCAAGCTTTTTGCTGAAAAAATGTAAATATTTCATCTCAAACTACGCTTAATTTCTACAATCAAAAAATGTATTTCTTGAAAATGCATCGATACGTTGAAAAATTGTTAAATTGTTCAGGGATGTCAGAAACGAGTATCAGAAGGAAAAAATAATCTGAAAAATACACAAGGAAATATTAAAAATCTCACACCCCTATACCCGATA